CCGGTTTTCATCCAAAATATCTTAAATTGTGTTCCGAAGACGAACGAAGCTTTTACGGGTTTGGAACGACATGGGGGTAAGTGATTAATGACAACATTTTCATTTTGGGGTGGAGTATCCCTTTAAAACTTTTGAACTTCGATTGCTGTTGATATTTTGATATGTAAAATTTTCATTTTTATTTTGTAAAAAAACTACTTGATAAAAAGTTTTAACTCGGCATAATCAAAGTAGGTTATATTAGGTCGTTTTTGCAGAAATAGTTTTTTCAAGGGCTGTGTAATATTCCCTTTCTGAAACCACAGGAGGTGCTGTTTTAGAAGATGGCGACGGCACAAACTTGGCACAAGCGTACAACCCTAAAACATGCGTGTGGACAGAGGTGGCGCCCATGCAGATCGCCCGCTCTGGATCTGCTGCCTGCATCCTGAAGGGCAAAATATACGTCATAGGTGAATATGGAGGCTTTTATTTCCTAAGCCATTTGAGTCTTATCCTGTAGAGCAGTGGATCACAGTTGTTCCTCTCTAGGCGGCTGGCACGCTTCCACCGAGAACACGGATAAGGTGGAGTGCTACGACCCCAAGACCAACAAGTGGACCATGTGTGCTCCCATGAAGGAGAGACGCTATCGACCCGGCGTGGCGGTGGTGGACGGAAAGATTTACGTTTTAGGAGGAGAGGAGGGATGGGACAGGTGAGAGATACTACACGTTTGTAGTCGCGCCATTATCTCATAGCTACGTTAAATATATCTGCATAATGCCCATCTGCTGGCTGTTTTGGCCCGTCGTCAAAGAACTTCACTATGTCAAGCTCTCAGTATCAGACGTACATTTTAGAAAGACATTTGAGCTTTTCTATAGTAAACGTACAAATTTACTCACTGTGTTTATACTATGATTACATAGAGCAGCAATAAGCGCATGTGGGTTGACATAGCAACCAGATACATAGCACTGCAAGTTCAACACACAATAGCAGGCACACAAACACTTAATAGCCTATTTAGTCATTCTTACTGAAAATGGCCGATTAATCAGTTTGTATTAGAAAATCTATGTCTAGGTTTTGTTCTGTGTAAATCAAATAACATTTGGATGTAAATAGTCCTCTTCCTGACATAAATGTAGAACCCGCTACAGCGGAGCGTCCTGCGGATCGTCTTTACGAGCACGGCATCAGCATCTTCATCTGACTTTATTTTGGTTTGGTCTAGATTTCTCTGCAGTTGTTGTATGTTGTAAAAAACACTGAATATCAATTCACGCCGTGCAACAGGCAAGCAATATAAACTACACTATTATCCCCCAAAATGCAGATTCGTCACGCCACAACTTCTTACGCAAATGAGATGGGAGGCATTAAGTTTGATTTGTTAATTGTTTTACAAAGTAACAATTTAAAATGTATTAAAATAACTACATTGTATGCATATTTACTTTTCAGTTGAAAATATTATTCATGAAAAAAAAACCTAGAAAAAATTTGTAAAATAGTTTTTTGAAGATTTTTTTTTTCTGAAATTAATAACGTAAACATATTTGTAAATGAGCATAATATAGACACTTTAATAATCAAAGAGTGTGTATAATCAATTTAATTTAAATATATAATTTATTAAATTTTTAACAATAATAGTGCCCTATGAAATGTTTTATTTTCTCAGAAAATCTGTTGTCTGTTTTCATTTTTCTGGATTTTGTTTTCTAATTTAATACAGATTTATTATCAAAAATGGTGGTAATAAAATAAATTGCATAAATCTTGAAAGATTTCATTATTCTTTTTTTCTTTCTTTCACCACTGTTGTGGTGCTCCACAACAGTTAAACCACGGACCAAAAATGTATGTGTGATATTCCTTAAAAAAACAAAGTTTTAATAAACTGTATTATTATTTGTATTATTACTTTGAGGAGTACAATCTATAGTACAATTGTAAAATATTTGTCTTCTTTCTTTCCAAGTTAAACTAAACTTTTGCAGGTTGTAGTGAAGTCCTTAGAATTTCTGTGTGTATCTGAAGATAGTTGAATACAATGCAATGGTGAAATGCTGGCCCAGAGCAGATGGAGGTGAAGTTTGTGTGTTCTTGTCCTCATATAGTGAGACGGCAGATCCTGAAAACACAACAGCCACACATGCTTGAGTTTGTGTAGTAAACCAAACCATGCCATTAATTCACACAGACACACGCAGAACGTGCAGACTTCATATCTAAATAGTGTGTTTTGCGGTTTAATCTTCACAGGCACTAGCCCATATTGTGATCTGATTAACTGTACAGCACCTGTTTTTGATCGATTCATTCACATTTGCCAAATTCCGTGACGTTCCATGTTATACTGTAAATTATATTATGACTGGATTCTGTGGAAGTCATAGGGTCTTACGACACTCAGTCTGATGCCTGCTAGCTATGTCCGCTGTCCGTCCGTCGGGGGTTTCTGAGCAAACTGACTTCCCCTGCAGGTATCATGACACTATAGAGCGATACTGTGAAGAATCGGACAGCTGGGAGATCATCGGAGAAATGCCCACCAGCCGCAGCTGGCTGAGCTGTGTCTCGCTGCAGCTCAGGAAGGACACTCACGTGGGCAGCCATCCTGGCACTGCAACAGAGATGGAGTTTCCTGTGGACTGAGAGCACTAGGGCTCCACCTGCATCACTGCCGGCCGGGACGGAAGGCCAGGGGGCAGCTTTCAGAGCGCCCGGCTCCACCACACTTTCGGTGGGGTTTTTAAGAATGGAAAAAGTCTGACCTAAACGCTGGAGGGTCTTCAGAAAACACTCATGCTTTCTCCAGTCCGGCCCACTGCCACGGTGTGAGGCTGGATGGATTGATGATATCTGTGGTGATTGTGAGTCTGTGTGTGTGTGTGTGTGTGTGAGCTCGAGTGTGCTGCCATCCCAGAGTCTCCACAGTATCAGTTCAATGTGATGTTCAAGTGACGTACAGGGTTCCTTCCATGCGCTGAGCACCTCATGATTGTGACCTATAAACATACTCCTTTGTTTTCTAACAAAGTGTTGTAGTGAAATGTTTTGTACTTTTTGTATAGTGATTTTTGTTGTTGTATTTATGAGAAGTTTTTTGTTGTACTGAGAGATTTATGGAGTAATTAGCACAGATAAACTGAAACATGTTAACTGAGTTTCTTTAAAGGGACAGTTCACCCAAAAATGAAAAGTCTGTCATCATTTACGCACTCTCAAGTTGTTCCAAGCCTGTATGAGTTTCTTCTGTTGAACACAAAATGTTGGTAACCAATTTCTGGTCCCTGTTGACTTCCATAATATGAAGAAAAGAAGTAGAATGAAAAAAAATATGAGGACCAAAAACTGTTTGGTTATAAAGGTCATACAGGTTTGGAACAACTCGAGGGTGAGTAAATGATGAGAGAATTTTCTTTAGGGTGAACTATCCCTTCAAATCCGTAATTAGTCTTCGTATTGTGCACAGTATGTATGTATGTATACCAAAATGACCTTCTATATTTGCCAAAATGTTTAGTATATAACAGAGCACACTGCGCTGGGTACTGCATCCCACAATGCAACTTGATTGTCCTCAGTATGATTAATGAACCTAAATTACAGCTGCAATTTTACCATCTTTTCTTGACTCGTTATTTGTTTGGTTTTCTTAGTTAAGACCTTTTTTTAGTTAAGACTCTGAGATAAAAAGGAAGATTAAATGATGATCAGTTTATGCATACGTGTACAATGTGAATCAGATTGCTAAGTTTATGGTTCATATTACAATCTGAAAGATTGGATTCATTCAGATATAAAAAATTATAGGGTTAGTTCACCCAAAAATGAAAATTCTGTCATTAATTACTCACCCTCGTGTTGTTCCAAACCCGTAAGACCTTCGTTCATCTTCGGAGCACAAATTAAGATATTTTTGATGGAATCTGAGAGCTGTCTGAGCCTCCCATAGACAGCAAGGTAACTACCACGTTCAAGGTCCTGAAAAGTACCAAGATGATCGACGCAGTAGTCCGTGTGACATCAGTGGTTCAACTGTAAAGTTACGAAGCTACGAGAATACTTTTTTGCGCAAAGAAAACAAAAATAACGACTTTATTCCACATTTTCGTCTGGCGGCGCAACACGCTCGCGTCATGATAATGTCGTGAACGCGCGTCCACAAGTGACGCAGTAGAGACGAAAATGTGGAATAAAGTCGTTATTTTTGTTTTCTTTGCGCAAAAAAGTATTCTCGTAGCTTCGTAACGTTACAGTTGAACCACTGATGTCACACGGACTACTTTGTCGATCATCTTGGTACTTTTCTGGACCTTGAACGTGGTAGTTACCTTGCCGTCTATGGGAGGGTCAGAGAGCCCTCAGATTCCATCAAAAATATCTTAAATTGTGTTCCGAAGATGAACGAAGGTCTTACGGGTTTAGAACAACACGAGGGTGAGTAATTAATGACAGAATTTTCATTTTTGGGTGAACTAACCCTTTATATTTATATATATTTGTGATATAGTATATCCCAACACCGATGCATTCTTTCTACACACAGTACTGTTGAGGTCAGTATGATGTTTTTTTTTTTATAATTTTATTCAATAAAGTGACAGACAGTTTTTGTTTCAAAAGATTTACATCTGAAAATAAACAGTTCTTTTGAACTTTCTATTCATGAAAGAATCCTGAAAAAAAGTATCTTTTTCCACAAATATGAAGCAGCACATTTTCAACATTGATGTTTTTTGAGCAGCAAATCAGCATATTAGAATGATTTCTAAAGGATCATGTGACACTGAAGACGAGTGATGTTGCTGAAACCAGCTTTACCATCAAAATTACATTTTAAAATATATTAAAATAGAAAATTTAAATTGTAATTTCACAATTTAATTGTTGCTGTATTTTTAATCAAATAAATGCAGCCAGATTGTTTTTCAAAAACTGACCCCAAATTTTTAACAGTAGTATACAATCACCAGCAAAGTGCATACTTACAATATAATTATAGAAAGAAGGATGCAGCACATTATGTATCCTGGATACATAAGTCTTTACGATGATTGCTTTATATAACGTCATAACTACTCTTTTACATGTTCTACCATGTCAAACCAATGAACTGAATTCTCATAATTAAAAAAAAGAATAAATTATAAAAGCATCTTATTTTTTTCTTTCCATAATATAAATGTACATGTGCTCATCCAATGGCAAAGTGAAAAAATGACAAGTAAACACTTCAAAAACTTAACATACACAAAACAAATCATAATTAAGAAACAAAATTTAGATGGTAAATGATAAACGAGGGAAAAACAAAACTGCAGATGTGCCGAAAAGTTCTCAGACCAGCAGTCTCTCGATGGCCATCTGCACCGACTGAATCTGAGGCTTGAGCTGAGAGCCTTAATGGTGACCGAGGTGGCGATGGCGGGCCCAAGGCCTGCTTGGAGCACACAAACACGTACAGGACGTTCTTGTCCTCTAATAATGTACATCGTATTATATAATAACCCCCATAATATACAATTATGCATGCAAAAATAAAATGGAAAAAGAACAAAAAACGAGAGAAAACTACTACAGAATTGGATACAATCGGGTATAAAAATGTCAAATAAATACTTCTAATAGTCTGTCTGTACGCCTTGCTTCAATCAACAAAACTATACATGTGTTTTTATTAGCAAACTGTCCTTTATGAATGTGAAATTTGGTCAGAATTATAAGTAAATTAAAAGTAAAAGCGTGTTTTCTCCTCTTTAAAATATTCAGTGAAGCCAAAAAGAGCATTCTCCCATAAAAGTGAGAGCGGTCTTGAACTCTAAATAATTTCATTGATGTATTTCTGTATTTCACACCACGATATGAAGGCTACAATAAAGGTGGTTTCAAGAGTGCATTGGAGAGGGAGAGAGACTTTGACTTTTAAAACCCTTTTAATTTACACCATTTTTCAAAACATTACTGAGCTAATACACAAAAACACACAAACAAAATAAATAAAATAAATAAGTAAATAAACACATTTGTTTCTAGATTTAATGAAATGGTTTTTATCTTCCTGTGAGGCTTCTGCCACTGTGTTTCATTTATTTTGTGTGTGTTCAAGGCTGGTTCCACTTTTTGAAAAACGAATTATGAAATTGGGATTTTCTTTTACAAATTCCCTTTTTAGTTTTGGTTGCAAATATAAACAGTCGTTGCGTGAACTGCGTGTGCTTGCCAATTTTTTAATGGGATAAGCCAAGTTAGCAATCCTGAAAACACATCAATGTAAAAATGCCGGTCGGGATGTTGACTTGTTGGCTCTTTTTAAATCATTGGTCGAATTTAGAGTTGCTATTGAATTTACATATTACAAACAAACTGATAATGGACCTTTTTTTCAAAATGAGATTGGGTGTGAGAGATGCTTTAGTGACACTGAGAGAGTTTGGAAATATGGTTTTTAATTGGTAAATTGTTTTGAGAGAGAGAGATTTTATAACACTTTATTCCACACCATTTGTAAAAAAATAAATAAAATAAACAGTTAACAAACATACACTTAAATTCACTCAAGACATTTAGCAAATATTAGTTCTCCATCTTTAACAGAGCATAGTATTTCTTTATAATTCCATACATTTTCAAATTCTTCAATATTCTTCACATTTTTAAAAACATTTTAAAGGGAGAGAGAGAGAGAGAGAGAGATCTGTTTTTGGTTTTATAGATCATGAAAAGTCAGACATTTTGGTAGAATAATCTTTTTTTTTTTT